CCCCCCCCCCCGGAGTGGACGGGGCCTGAGCCACAAAATCCCGTTTAGGTGAGTATCACCCGGCGAGTATCAGACTTTGCGTGCCCTGCTAGATCCATGTTACGCCGCAAAATCTAATGTTAACGCAAAATGTAACATTAACTCGAATTGTATGAACTTTTGATGCAAAATGTACCGGTAACACTTTCTTTAACGGGATTTTAACAACTTTATAACGTAAAATGTAACAGCTTCTTTAACGCGAAATATAACAACGCAAAATGTAACAGCCTTACTGAGAATTATCTCAGTTGAATTCCTGTGATGCGCCTTGCAGGACGCACTGTGCCGGGGTACTGTGAGGCAAGGAGCAGCTGACACCACGCACATCCAAGGGGAGAGTCTGCAGGTCGGTCTGGATGTTAGTCCGCCGTAGTAGATTCTATCGAATGCCGTTTTAAGCTGTTTTAAGCTGTTTTTGGGAACATTTCGTTAGACCGGATTTATTGGTGAGGGTATACCTGTAGTTTTGAAGCCAGTTTGGTCTGAATTTGAACATTTTGGGTTGAAAAATGTTTGCATATTCCGGTCAGTATTAGACTATATTTGTGTTCTCGGTTTTGGACTGGAACTAGCTTGCAACTAAGGCTAATTCGGGAAGTCGCTTCAAATGCAAATAATATTACTCTCTTTTTAATGATATTCCTCCGCATGAGCCTCTATTGTAAGCTAGTTCCAGACTGATACCGAGAATACGAGAGTGTGGAACCAAAAGCATATATCATCTAGACAAGGTGATAAGCTTGGGCTTATTACTAACTTTAGCTAACTTTTTTATTTTTCTAGTTTATGTGTCTCGTCTGAACCGAGGCACTTGTTGGGTAAGGCCTTGTCTGAATATAGTGTATATCGATTTAAATGTAAGGAACAGGTTTGAATAAGAGTAGGGAAAATAGCATTGTTTGGGTTTAATGTGTCGACGCGCGCACACTCCCACCCAAATGTTTGTGGAACACCCCTCCGGAAGATCACCGACTTTTTTAGCGCGAGATGGCAAAACGCCATTACAACCAGGTTGTAAAAGGTTTAGCAGTGCGATAGAATTCCTCGGTCTTGTAGCTTTCTTTCTTCAATTCATGGTTAGCCATGCATGAGAGGAATTCTCGCGCGTTTTGCCCTCGCGTGCTAACAAATTCAAGTTATTATTAGTTGTAAAAATTGCTAATGGCTGACTACCTAACTACCTGTAAATTTCCTGCCAGAAGGTACGAAGAGGGAGGTTCGGTCCGGTCTCAACAGACTTCAACTAGAATATCAATCCGTGAAGGCATGAATCGAAAGTGGATCAAAATATCCCGGGGGAGGGGTTCTCCCTTAGGCCTACCTGGGAGGGTCTGGGACATATGTGAACATTTATCGTCGAATCATAATCTGTCTCAGGCATTGTCCCAGGCTGCCTGCTAAGTTGAGCTGAGGGAGCTGAGTCAACTTCGTAGGCAAGCCGGTGGTTGTAGGTGATTGTCGGCGATGAAAATACTATGTGAACATCATCTGCAGACGCAACGTACTCCAGTAAGACAATTCCATCCATATTTACGGCTGGAATGGTTGAAAATTGCGTCCCTTCGATTTGTATTTCGCGCAAATATGAGTACGTCGGCGATCCATCG